GCGATTCCACAATGCCAGGCTCATTGCGTTCCACATGGTAGATGCCCACAAAAGCTGTTGAATGAATGAATGAATAATGAATGATTGTATCATTTTTACACAGTATTTTATGTTATGCCTTATCAGTGTCTGAATTAATCACCACATTATTGTCAGGTCCCACTGTCACCTTTAATTATGAATTACAGGCAAAAATATAGTCCTCAGGAATATTTTTTTAAGCAAAGGGCCCTTAACTTTTTTCCAGTTGAGTATTTATGCCAGCGTTCTCCCTTATACAAAGCAGAGTTCTACTAAGAATCTAGGCCTCATCTAATTGTTTAAAAATAGTCCCTGTCCCTTACCTTTTCTTTTTAAACTTTGTATTTTGACATAATTTTTAGATTTACATGCAGTTGTAAGAAATAATACTGAGAGATCCTGTGTACCTTTCACCCAGTTTGCCTCAGCAGTAACATCTCGTAAGTATAGTACAGAATCGACTGGGCGCGGTGGCTCACGCCTGTAACCCCAGCGCTTTGGGAGGCCGAGGCCAGTGGATCACGAGGTCAAGAGATGGAGATCATTCTGGCCAACATGGTGAAACCCCGTTTCTACTAAAAATACAAAAATTAGCTGGGCGTGGTGGCGCACGCCTGTAGTCCCAGCTACTCAGGAGGCTAAGGCAGGAGAATCGCTTGAACCCAGGAGGCAGAGGTTGCAGTGAGCCGAGATTGCGCCATTGCACTCCAGCCTGGTGACAGAGCGAGACTCCATCTGAAAAAAAACAGTATAGTACAGTATCTATACTGTAGATAGAAAATTGTCATAGATACAAGACACAAACCACTGATCTTATTCAGATTTTACCAGTTTTACATGCACTTGTGTGGGGGTGGGGAGTTGCAGGGTGGAGGGTAGATTAATAATACAGTTTATTCTAAAGCCAAGATACGTTATAGTTTAAAAAAAGAATATTCCTTGAATATTGAAAGCATTTTTCTCATTGATGATTTCTGTGTTTGGAATATCCAGCTTATCTGCCTGCTTTCAAGGTCACTAAATATACTTATTGGCACACTTACTCTGTAAGTGAACTAGCAGCAGCTGTGGTTGGAATTGGACCTCTTCCTGCCTTGTCTCCTCCACCAGCTCTTTGAGTGTGCAGGTACACACACACACACACACACACACACATTTTCTGCTACTTGCCTTTTTTTATGCCTGAGTACCTTGCTGACAAGTGCTAATAACAAAATACCCAGAGAGAGTCCAGTTGAAGTTAACATACATTAAGCATTCTGAACTTGTCCTTTTGCTCATAGATTGTGCATAATTAATAATTAAACAGTTTCAGTTGTAATGGGTTGACCTTCTTGAACTGTTCATTATTCACAAGGCAAAGGCATCACTCAAACTTTTTCCTATTGTCCTTCGCTGTTCTCTAGCGTGCTGCATGCTTGTGTTCCAGTTGTTTAGCAAAAGGGGCTGACCAGGTAGTTACTGAAACCTCTAAGGCTTGGAAACTGTCCTCCTTGATGACCAGAATTGCTTACTAAAATGGTTTATGGCAGCTGTTTTTATGTAACAGTTGCCTGCTTGATAACAAGAACCAGCTTGTGTCACTTCAGCAGAACTCTAAAGTTGATTTGAGACTAGACTCTCAGATTGAGGCTTTTGGTTAAGGTTGTGTCCACTGCTTCATTCTATACCTCTGTGCTTAGAAGTTCAATGGAAAAGCATCTGAAAAAAAAGCCCTTTGGGTGAAGTATGGCACCCAAGGTCTTAAAGAGAGTGACTTTCATTAACAATTTAGAGTCAGTGTCAGCCAGTACTGAGAATTCAGTGTAACTGCTTCTTCAACCCACATTTAAATTTTTGAAATATATTTCTCCATCTTGCCAGAACCCATATTTCATAAAGGGCGTTTTTGGGATGTAGCAGCAACTGCTTTACTAGAGTCTCTGAACCCCTCCGATGACTAGGTACTTTCCCTTCCTGTGAGCTACAGTGAAACCGGAGCGCATATTTACTGTATGCCTCCCTCCTCACATGTTTGAATTAGATAACAAAATAGGCAGGTTCTTGCAGATCTTTCACATCCTGATCAAAACTAACTTTGTAATTTTATTTGCTTTAAAAAGAGAAAAGTATACTGTCAAGTACTGCAGTGCAGAGAACACTCTCAGATATATTCATTTGCTTTCCTTTGGAGTGTTAACAGTCTTCATACTTGTGTGGAGTTGGAGACTCTCAGAAAATGCCTTTGCCCAGTGTTTATGTGTGGCATTCTCACCATCCCCCTACCAGTCAGTCTTCTGCATCTCAGAAGATTCTCCCTTGAGGGATGCAGGAGACATGGATTTTAAAACAAAAATAAATATCTGGCATTGTGCACGTGAGATTAGAATTTCCCCCACATCTTTAATGAGTGATTCTTTCCAGGCACCACTGAGATGAGAATCCACTCGCTGTGGTTCTGCAAAGTCGATTTGGGCTGGCATTTTAGGAAGTGAAATAAATTATTCATGGGTACCACCCAGTGTTCCTTAGTTTTATAATATGAGGAACTTAACAGGCTACAATATCAGGTCTTAAATAAAATTAACTACCCATGCAAAATGTCACATTTCCTCATTTTGTTTGTCATCCGTTTTTACATGACTTCTTCATCATGTTGCTAGTCTATAATTCATTAATTTACTTTTGATATCATACTTTGAGAAGAGGCCCACATTAGCATCATGTTTCATACTGGATCTTTATAGAAAGCCAGTCCAGAATTTTAACCATCTTGGTAAATATGGAACCACATTAAGATAGCAGGCTTTTATTTTCCTAAATAGTGCATTTTAGAGCAACTACTATTCAGGTACTTTCAGTACTACACCCTTAAAAAAAAGTCCATGAAGCGATGACTTAGAGAAGCTTCCTCACTGATCAGAGTCCATAATTTTTACACCTCAGACTTTGAACTATCTTTTTACTAATGGTTTTTGAGACAGTAAAATGTCATTTCTTGAACTGGGCCTTGTAGAATCTTACAGGCTTGGTGATATATATGGCTTTCCTAAAACAGGCTGCAGCTGAAATTGATATCATGTTTTATTTTTGCTCTTCAAACCGATGGGACTTCTGTGGCCATTTTATATACCTTTATTGAGGACTTGTCATGCTATTTCGTGTCTTGTTTCTTTTGAGTGGACTGTTTCATCAGCCACACATCCACCCCCGTTTTTCATGTCCTCTCTATGTAATGCCTGCATGTAATCCTTTGAACTTGGCAAGGTTTTATTTCACTCCCATTTTTCCTTTGTTTTCCTCTTAGCCTTTCTCTACTGATGAGAATTTTAGTTTTAGAATTACTAACCATCCCTTCTTCTGGATGAATAGATTAAATTCAAAGAAGACAGATATGCAAAAACCAAGAAACATTTTGTTCATGTTTCTTCTCTTATAGCCTCTTTGGGTTTTTTTGTTGTTTGTTTTTTGTTTTGTTTTGTTTTTTGGCTGCCTTGACCCCCTTAGTTCCTTTTGATTTAATTGTATTATCCAGCAGTTTCCAGTTGTTTGAATTGGAAACAAAGCCTTAATAAGAGTTCTAGTTAATTTTCTGTCTTGTAATTACCGATCTCATTTTTCTGATAATTGGCCACAGCAATTATATGTATATTTACTAATCACATAGGAGGCTGTGCAATTGTATCTATCTGCCACCATTGATAATGACACGCATATTGCAGAGGTGCTTTTATCATCTTCTTTTTTCCACTACATCAAAGCTATTTCCTCTCGTTCTCAATAATGAATACATGCATGCATTTGACACAGTTGTGTGCTAGAGAAATTGTTTGGCTCCCACCAAATGCTGCATGCTCTGAGTTTCTTGCCTGCAGCGCTGGAAGGTTGTATGTAATGATATATTGCTCATCCAAATGGCCAAAGCACTCCAAAGCACAGTGAGATTAAAATAAGTCATTCCTTTGTTAATTTAAATAGGTGCATGTATCATACTTTGCAGGGCACTTTGTGTAGGGATGTCAGGGAGGAAAAAAGCCGCCGAAAGGTATTTTTAATAGCAAATGAGAATAGATGAGAATGGAGTCATTTGCAGCTGCCTACTTTATGTGGCTCTCTTGTTCCAACTGTAGGTCTAATGAGATGACTGTTAAAGTACTCTGCAGTGTAATTTCATTACATCCTGAGCTGTTACACTATAAACACAGTGGCGCTCTCTGTCATTCTTGGAAAAACTCCTAAATTCTTAAAGCCTTCCTTTGCAAGCGGTAATGAGGTTTGCTCTCTGTGTCGCGTGGTGGTGGTGGTCTGTTGCTGTGTGGTTTTCTGCTTTTTTGACTGACTCCCACCTCCATCCCAGTTTTGGTTGGTGGTCAAGTTGGGAGTTTTTCATTGTATCCTTAATTCACTGGCTTTCTCATATGAGGAGGCTGCCTAGACTGGCAAATAGGCTGAAATTCCTTTTCAGGAAACAGCTTTCCCTATAAAAGCCTTTCTATTAAAGTAAAAAAAAAAAAAATCTGATCCAAATTATTCTATTAGGTGCAAACAGTAAAGGACAGTTGAATATACAAATAATTGTAAGTAAAAAGGAAAGTGTAAATAAATAGCAAATCCAGTAAAAGAAACAAAGGTCAACACAAGAATAATTTCACAGCTCTTTGTTAATTACAAGACCATTTGTGTGTTACTTAAATAATCATTAATTTCTCATTTACACTTTCCCTACCTTCTCTCCTACCCTGTGGCTATCATTGTCCTTTTTTCACCTCCCCTCTCTCTCAGCTCTCATGTTTCTCACCATTGTAAAATATGTGTGGGTTAAAATTTGGCATTTTTACCTAAATATGTGGAATAGGGTAAAGACAGTCTTTTTAATTGAGTGAGGCCTTATTTTCATTGTATTCATCTTTACACTGCTCCTTCACATGGGTGGATGGGGAATATAAAGAAAGAGAAGGAACTGTTGTGACTTTTGGTGACATGTTTTTCCTCCATCCCAGGATTCGCCCGTCCTTCCAGTTGGAGAGTTCTCGGAGCCGTTTGTACATTTCATCACTCAGTGGTGAGCCCGTTTACAAACATGCCATGCCCTCAATGTAAATGATACATGCCATTAACTCGGCAGCTCCGTGAGACCTTATGGCTCTCCCTGCTTCCTTTTGGAGACAGGAGGGACTTGGGGGCCTTGGGCAGATGGGGCGGCAAAGCTGAAGAAATTGTTTAAATTATGTAAACGTTATTTACACAAACGGTCATAAGCATACTTCAGAATCTTTTTCCTGATTTAATAAACTGCTGAAAGTCAAGATACTTCTTTAAGCACAGATAACTGTTGCCATGCTTTTTTAAAAAAAAGAAATACACAATTTTATAGCCCCTATTGAACAGACATACAAAGCTTATTTTTATTAATGTAACCTCAAGTTACCCATCAAACTGTCTGTCACTTAGTGGAAGCAGCATAGTTTATTAATTCATCGGATTTTCAGTAAATAACTTTTATCTTTGGTTGTATTTTAAATACAATACTGGGGTCCCATTTCATGAAATTTGACATTTAGAAGACTATGAAAACAGTTCAGCCCACTTTAACCCTTAAAGAACTGAGAAGAGCCACAGGGGCCCTCAGAGCCTCTAGGCAACTCCTTGTCATTTTATACCTGGAGAAACAAGCATTTTATTGCCAAGGAGGTTCTTTGCCAGCCTTCTGCCTTTTTCCTCCTAGCAGACCACATCTTTCTTTTATTACCCCTTCACCATCATTTCCCTCTTCCCTCGTCCTGCAGGACTGATATGACCTTGGGAGGCCAAGGTATTATTCCCCTGCCCTCTCCCTCACTCCAGCACAGAGAAATTACCCAGGAGAGAGGAGGAATTCAGGAACATAGGAATCATCATCCTCAAAGCAGGAGACAAAACCAACCGCAACTCCTTCTTAACTACGTTGGTCTTCTTTCCCTCCTTCACCAAAGTCCTCATTCTCCCAGAGTCATGTCCACTACTGGAAAATGAATGGGCAGACCCCACTGAAAGAAACCCTTGTTTCTGTGGTGTGGCAAAGTAATGCTATCAGGATTCTTGCTAACCAAAATCATTGTGCGCCATCCCCTTCCCCTCCCACCATGATCCATCTGATGATTACGCTAAAGGGAAACCAAGAAATACTCCTTAATATAAATGTCAAGCTTTATCACCTTTTTGACTAAGTGTAACATGTTACCTCTTAATAAAAATGTCTCATACAGTTTATATTCCATAGAAAATATATGTGGGGAAGAAATTTTTCTCCCCAATTAAAAAAATTTTATTAACACTATGTTTCTATTTATTTAAAATACTTATATAATATAGTGTAGCTTTTAAAAACTATTTTTACTCTGAAAACATTGTATTTCCAAAGCATGCCATGTTGGAAAAAAAGCATACATATTGATTAAACACTGGAATCCTGAGCTGTTTTGAAGCTCCTTAATGATGTTAGAACCATTACCCAGAAATATATATCCCTCTTAATTTCCTTTACATGGAATTCCTAAAACACATGGTAATGTGTACCTTGTGTTTTACACATGGTAATGCCTCATTTTGAAATGCAAAAATTGAAACACAAACCATGCGATTCCTCTACTGCCTGGAGCGCCTCGTTTGGGCATCACCCTCTCTGCTCTGGAGAAAATGTTGGATTTGTGACAGGATCGCAGCGCTAATCTTATCTCGCTGTGTGGTCTGAGACCAACCTGGGGGTGGGGCTGGTCTGAGCAGCAGGGAGAAAAGTGGATAAGGCTTCACCTCCCTCCTGTCCAAAAAATTAATCAGCTATTATTTAAAAGTTTTATAGAGACAGAGGGAGGGATAACCTGTATTCAAATTTCCACAGATGTCAAGCCGAAACAGAAATGATAGTGGGTAATAGCCTTGTTTTCCCAAGAGATACAGCTACTTTGGAATGTCAGATTAGGACTGTTACCAACTCCACTGGCGAGACAGCTTGAATTAGTTGCTAATGGATGCAGTATTTGAGAGGTGCATATGGTTATTTATAGGGAAGGCAAATGTCCTCGATGTTATTAATGGTTCATAACTCCAATTCTTGTTTACCAAATGATCATTAAATCTGTTTTTAAAAAGGTATTGTCAGCAAATGCAGAGATTATGTGAAGAGTTTTCTTCTTGCTTGTTGGAAGAATGCCTTATATAAAGAAAAAAGCATCTGTGTGATTTTTCCAAGTGATAGAAGCAGCAATCTCTTTTCATGACTTTATCCCATGGACAGTCTGAGTTTAGAACAGATACAGCCATCAAGTAGGCAGCTGCCCAGTCACCTTCATCCCATGTGTGAGTGCTTCATCACATAGCTAAGTACATGTTACAGCTACTAATTATATCTAATGCATGGAAGACAAATATTTTGTATGAAGAATGTGATTCTTTAAGCAGCTTAAACAAATTTAGCTGTCCCACAGCGGTTTAATGAATTATCAACTTGCCTTGTTGCCAAAACAAATGCAAGTCAAGATAATCTACAGCAAGCCACTTGTAATTTTGTAGCATTATCTAGATTCCTGACCTGTTTTATATACTTCTTGTCATTTGGAGTAATAGTGAAAGAATGAGATGTATTCTCATTTGACTCTACAGTCATGTTTCTTTCCTTACTGTCTTATCCCAATTACCAAAAAAAAAAAAAAAAAGGATATTCTGTAAATTTAAGTTTGAAATAAATTGATAATTGAGTCAATAAGAGAATATTGCTGCTTTTTTCACATTAACTTCAAAAGTAGAATTAGGATACATTGTTTAAATTCATTCTTTATTGTGTTGCAAAATATTTTTTAAGTGAAAAAGTAAGAAAAAAACTTTTTGTTTCTTACTCATAATGTCCCCCAGAAATGTGACTAAGTAAAGACAAAAATAAAAGAAAGGGAATATATGCTAATACTTTGGCCGAGAATTGAACATGATGAATTTGAAAACATTCAAATTCCAGTACAAATAGCCATGGGTAGAAATTACAGCAAAAATATACAAATGACACAGATAATATGAGCAGTTTTTTTCTCTCCACTATAGTATGCGAAAACAGCCAAAAGAAAGGCCAGCACCTGAAGAATTGATGGTAAGTGTATTTTTTTAGTTACATTAGAATTCTCAGTTATATATTTGTTTAACATTCTGTTTAAAAGTCCAGAATGGACTTTAAAACAGCCATAGGCTCTGAAAAGGCAACATTATTTACTTCATTTGGGTAGATGTTTTTGAAGCTCATATCCTCAGATAATAGTTTTTACTTTTTAAAAACCCACCGCCTTTTTGAAAGTTAATGCAGAACACTTTTCATTTGCCTTATCAAGGGTCACAAACTTAATGTAGGTTACTCTTTATCCTCATTTGCTATTGAACCTTTTAGAATTCAGAGGATTGGTAACAGAAGATCATCAGTGCAGTAAGTTTTTAGTGCAATTCTGCAAAAAATTTCTGAATGTGGCATGGAGTCCTCTTAGATTCATGTAGAATGAAATCAGACTGGCTGCAAAAGATCAAGTTAATGTGAATCTTTGGTCTTTCCTCAGAAAGAGACAGCTACAAGGCTGCCAGTGCTGTGTTCTCAGCTCCAAGGCAGCTTTCTTTGATTGCAAATGACAGTTTTTAGTCAAGCAGGGAGAGGAACAGAGATACTCCTAACAATTCCCAAATGGTCATTTATTTAGTGCAGATTGTTGATTTGACAATGCACAAGCTGTTAGAATAACGTTAGGATCGAGCATTAGTAAATAATAATTATAGTCTGTTCTGTCTAATGTTTTGCATACCATTCCCTGCCTTTAGATTTCTACAGTCAGAGCAAATTCCTACCAATTTTCTTTCACCTTCTTTAAACAATACACATTTTACAGATACCAGTTCAGAGGTTTTCATCCTTTGTACTCCAACCTAATAAACAGTTTCAGTGCCCCAACTTCTGTATAATATGGATTTCATCCTTGAATGTAAAATAACAGTACGTTTCCTTTTTGCATCATGAATGCTTTTCAGGAAGGTACTTTCCTCCTTCGTGTTCCCTAGAGCAAAATCTCAGTTTTCAGGGTAGTTTCAAGTTAAAGATCACCCCTAAAAACCTCTGCAATTTATAACTCTGCAGGTTTCATGTCTAGAATAAACTGGTCTCTTTTTTTGGTCTCTTTGATGGTTGGAAAATTCTTGCAGTTAGTCACATTTGAGAAAACTTGGAACAGGTTCTAGAGATGGAGACCCATTTACCTTGTGTATTATTGTGCTATGGCTGGATAGCTCAGCTATTAAAACAAAGGAATAACATTTCATAAAACAGATATTTGTTTGTAAATGCATGTTTCAATGCTGCAATGAGTTGGCCACTTATAAATAAAACATCTGCAGATCACACATACACCCATAAATGTATATGGATGTATATATTGGTAAGAAACACCACTCCAGGGTGGCACATCATAAAGACAAGGCTAAAGGGTGAGTACTTTCAGTGCCTTGAAAGCAAGTGATGTGTGTGTGTGTGTGTGTGTGTGTGTGAGAGAACATAGGTATTTAGATATATCTCTTTACAACTCTACACCCTGTTGTGTGCTGTCCCACATTTTTAATTAATAAATATCAATAAATCAATAAAATACAATGAAAAATGTAGTCACAGGAAGCACCATTCCATACTTAATTTAACATTATTTCTAGTACTGCTCACTGTTTGATTTTAAATGAATGCATTCCCAGAGGTATAGCAGTGGTGAGGCACCACTGCTTTGGCAGGGCTCAGTGAGGAGGCAGGGAACAATAGACTATATGTGAAGCTGCTGTGGTCAGAGAGTGAGCCCTGCCTGGACTTTGGGCAAAAACTGGGCCCAATAGGGGATGGGAAAGAAAGTGGGTTTTCTTTTGTCTTAAGGAACCTGAGCCACATCCTAGGGGCCCAATCTTAAGGAACCAGCCTCTTTATTCCTTCCAGCATATTAATGGCTTTAATTTTTCCTTTTGTCTCCCCGCCTACAACCTATTTGATGGTGCTCCCATCTGGAAGCCGAGAGCCTCCTCTGGAATGCGTGAACTATAGAGCCCATTTGTCACTCTGGGTGGGGGCCTGTGCCTTTCACAAAAAGAGCAGTTTATCTCCCAAGCACGGTTACTCCAGCCAGCAGGGTACCAGCACAGGCTGCATGGGCCGCTTCAGATGTGAGGTCTGCAGGATTGTCAAGGTTTCCCTGTAGGCCTCCATTTCCAAATCAAAGAAAGAAAATTAGAGATGGGCAGCTGGAAATACTGGAAGTTATAAATTCACTATTTGGGAACTCTTATATGAACTCCAGATGTGACCTTGACCAGCGAACACGGCAAATCCCAGCCTAAGTAAATCAGAATATAGGACTGGTGGGCCAGATCACCCTTACTTCTGGGTCTGGGCAATGCAGAGTGGGCACTTAGGTGGTAGGGTCACTGTTTATACCAGAATACCCCTTATCGAGTCATAAAATCATCATCTTGGCAGTTTTTGACCATGTGAGTCTTAAAGATGAGTGCAAAACTCAAGGTTGGAATTTGGAGACCATTTAAATCTCAGTGTTAGAACTCATTTAGTTGTTTAGTTATTTCATGCCCTCCACTTTGTGTGGTTGTTCTTACGATAGTTTTCGGTTTTTATATCCTAAGTGAAAGTATTTTAAAGTTGGACCAAGAAACTCATTTAATGCCCACATTTGGAGGAGGCCAGGATACATCTGAGCTGCTGTGGTTTTCTAGCCATTAAGCTACGTCAGAAGTTCTCTCAAAAGTTTTATCATCAGCATCTACATCATCCTAAGAGATCTCAGAACCCAGTAAATAATTGAATTTGGTAGTTGATAGACCACTGTGCACAGTCTTGTTCTAGATTCAGCAGAAGATATAAAGTAGAGGAAGCCACACAGATAGTCTTTTCGGGCTATAGTAAGTATACAGATAACTAGAATGAAGTAACTATTATAAAAGAACTGCAGAGTTCTGTGGAGATCCATTTGGGGAAATGAGGAAAAACTGGGTAGAGAAGGTAGCATTTGAAAGGGGCCTTTGGAGGATGAAGTGAATTTTAATAGAGAGCTTTGAAGGGGCCATTCCAGGCAAAGGAAACAGGATGGGCAAAGCATAAGTATATCTCGGTCTCAGACATTTTCAGAACAATGTGAAGCCTCTAGTGCCTGCTGGAACAGAAACCCCTTCGACATTGACCTGGTGGAGTTCAAATAGGCAACATATTCGCCACCAGCTGGGCAATCTCTTAAGACATTCCCCTTCTGTAGAAGGAACCCTGGAAACAGCACACCCATGCACATGGATCTTTTTTCTTGAGTGAATTATCTTGAATGGACTCCCATTCATGTATAGGGAGGTCCCTCATCCTTGAAAAGTTGTGACTTTAAACTCTTTAAGAGCCGATTGCAGAAATCAGGAGTCAGCTTTAAACCTTGCTTTAAAGGTAAAGTAAGCATGTAGGCAGCCAAGAACATTCAGCATGCCGACACCAGGCAGGTAGAACCCCACCCCCACCTCCACCTCCACCTCCAATTCTTTTCCTGTGATAATGATTCCATTGTTAAAGAATCTGCTTTTAAATCACACTGCCGCAACTCACAGGAAAGACCTGTGTCAGTGCTGCCCCAGCTCTGTGAACTGGGACCAATAAACTTAGGGACAAATTTTCAGACAGTAGAGACCCTGAGGAGGTAGCAGACAGAATGCTCAGCAGGCTTCAGACAATGCAGGGATTCCATGGCTTATGTGGGAAAAAGCCAGCCCCTTGCCAGTCGGAAAGGATTGATAGGACTGCAGCAAGAAGGGAGAGAGCAATAGTGCAAAGATGGTAGAGAAATTTCCCTTAATTGTCAATAATCAAAATGAAGGATCCTAAAACATAAAAATCAGACCCTTAAACTCAGGAACAAAGACAGCCTAAGATGAGAGCGTTAAGATGGGCGTTCAGGTTGGTTTTGCTATTCAACTTCTGTGTTTAAATATTTTGAAATAAAAGGGATATGTGAGACATTACTGTATACACCATTTGCTTCTCTAAACCACAAGGAATTCCTTCTGAGGAATTAATCTTCCTTCAGAGTTATTTGGTAGCTAAGGTCAGGATGTGACTTAGCAGGGAGAACCTCCACCATGTCCCTTCACTGTGTAACCTCAGCCAACTCCCCATCCCCTCTCCACTTCAGTTTATCTGCAAAACCGAGGGGGCAGCCCTTGACCGATGGTCTGTGACTTTAGGAAGTCAGAGCCCCAGAAATTACATCCAAAGTTATCTATGCATGTGGAGATGTGCCTTTTCATCCAAAAAGGAATTCATGACTGTTTCATTTTTCAAAGGGGACCCTGACCCTCAATGATTGTTAAGCTCCTTTGCTTCTGTCCTTTAGAGTTACTTGGCCAGGAGCTGACTGTAGGGAGGGAGGTGTTCACTCCGCAGGAAAGTGCCTGCTTGGGGGTGGGAGTGGGGTGCTTTCTGTGGGGTTCAGCAGGGCTTTGCACCAGCGTCAGGCAGCCCTTTAACCTCCCTGCATAGCCTGTCTGTGGGCCTTAACTTGAGCAGGGAAGGTGTGGGCTGTGGGCACCCACACAGTTACAATTTGGGCTCAGAGTATGGTAGATCTTTCTATGCATTTAGAGTGTTTCCAGAAGCTTTCCGTGTCTAAGCTCTATTTAATGGAATCTATGCATAGTAAGTAATCAGGTCAGAAGAAGCAGCATCCCGGTTTGAGATCAATCGCTGGCTAATACTTTATCTAGGCCACTTTATTATCTCATGCTGATCTGATTCCCATTCTCCCCCTCCTTTGTAGCATGCACTTCGGCTGTGGTAAAAGTACGTATCACATACATATTAAAAACATATACCCATTCTATCTGTATGTAAATGTGTGAGGCACAGCTGGATATTGCAGAGGAGTTTGATTTACTAATAGTTATTATCTGTTCTAGCTGTTCAGTGGCAGAGAGAATTTCAGAGAAACAAGCTGGCGAAGAAATTGTCTATGCTATTACTATACTGCTTTAGTAATTGTTTAAAAACATGGGTTTTCTCCTTAGGTTCTAGTAATGCCTGTTATTTTGTGCATT